TTTTCTTCTAAACACAGTCTGCAGTTCCTATTGTTAATATTATATGGGGATACTTTTTTATAATATCCCATTTAACTATAGTAGGTATATTATTTTGTTTTTGACTCCATATATATTTTGACAGTGTTGTGCTATTTGCATACTTACCTATTTTAAATGACATCATATGATTATTAAACCTTTTTTTTTAAAAATGGTTTCAGTTGCTTCGATGTAAATCTTTTCTTGTGTTGCTATTATTTGATAGAATTGCTTTATATATTATTAGTTAAACATTTATTATTAAGTGGACAGTTATTTTCATTTCGACAATTACAATTATTATTGCTATTTTGCAGTTATTATAATTGCTATTGTTTTTATTTAATATTTAAACATAATAACAAAAAAAAATAACATAAAATTATTAAATAAGAAGAATGAAATGATGGGTCGCTGCCAGCATATTAACAAATATTTACTTTGTCACTTTAATAATAATATAACATAAATCAATTAAAATATTAATTAGAAATATTAACTAAAATATAATTTAATTAATAACAAATATTACAATTTATTTAATAATATGACATAACAACTTCTACATGAACCATTAAAAAAAAATTTAATTTAATTTCAAAGAAAAAATCTACAGCTGAAAAAAATGAGACATAAAAACAAAATCTCATGAATGTGTGTATGTGTAAAAGAATGTTAAATTCATGAATACACACGTGTACAAAACCTAGTAAAAAGTGGATTTAAAAAGACGCGGCACAAAGTGAAAAAATTAAAAAAGACACGGAACAAAGTGAAAAAATTGGAAATAGCGTTTAAAAACCACAACCCCTGAAGATTAGAAATTTTACCAAGAAACATCAATGTCTGGATAAATTTTATATTTAAAAGTTAAGTAATCTTTTCATACAATATCATTAGCGGTCTATTTTTAATATTGAGCACTATATATATAAAAATATCTGCTGTTCTTAAATCTTTAATATGAAATGGACTAAGCCTGACAATTATTTTAATGTTTTATTGTTACACATTATTTATGTAGACACAAATATTTAAGTAAATACTCTGTTTATAATAAACAGTATTAACAACATTTTACTGGCCTGAATGTCTGAGAAATTTCATAGAGAATATGCATCCTCTGTTTAAGAGCAGTAATTCAACCTTGCTTACCAGACACTTCCTTCGTAGGTAAACTGGTATAGCATGTCAGGCTACATGATGCTTCTGTGTAGGATACAAGTTTGATTTTGGTCAGAGGACACATATTTTTTATGAAATTTTTTGGGCATCCAGGCCAGTAAAATGTTGTTAATACTGTTTGTTATAAACAGAGTATTTACTTAAATATGTGTGTCTATATAAATAATGTATAACAATAAAATATATATTATAGAAATAATCATTTGAATTTTTTTTTTGTATATATATTACATTTGACACTTCAAATCAGAAAGAAAAAAAATTTATTCAATTTTATAAAAGTTAATGTGTCCATTTTATGATGTAAATTCATTGTAATTTGTCCCTACCCTCATGGAACACAAAACAAATATGCTCATGCTATGAGTTCTTACAATGTAAAAAGATTTTTCTTTTTCTCTCTTTCTTAATCTGGAGTTCTTTTTCATACATTGGTATTGCTTAAATATTCCATATTCCAAATTTTAAAATTTCAAATTTTTTTTTACTTTCTAAGAAATCATGTTGTATGAGCATATTTGTTTTGGCTTGTGTAATGGGATGAATTTACATAGCAAATTAAAATTCCACCTCTCCTCGTTTTTAACTCTTATGAAATTTAATTACCATATATTCCAGCTTACAAGACACGCTTTTGTTCCTAAAAAAAAAAATACCCTGAAAAATGTGTGCATCTTCCAAGATGAATGTAAGGCAACGCCCAGGCTCAAGTAAGCTTGGACGGTCACCTAATTGACTTGATGGATAAGGCCATGGATTTGTTTATTGAGTCATTACACTATAATCCATTTAATTCAGACTTTTATATGATGTAACCTCAGCACTTAGCTGTTACAAGTATTTCCAAGACTATAAACCTTCCTGGTGCTGAGCCACAAGCTTAAACATGCTCTTTTTACTAGCAGTGGTGGGAGCCCTTCTGCTCTGGACTTGTATGTCATTGCCATACAAACAAAATTGGATGAGTGATTAATGTAAACAATACGTGGTACCAGTATGTGAGGGATGCATGGTGAATGTGTTGTCTGAGAATGACTGGTGTTTTGTTTTTTTTTTTGTTTTTTTTTTTTTTTTGGTTTTTTTTTTTTTTTTTTTTTTTGTTTTTTTTTTTTTTTTTTTTTTTTTTTTTTTTTTTTTTTTCTTAGAAATTTCTTTTCGTATAATAGGGTGCATCTTGGAAGCCGGAAAATACGATAATTCTTTTTCTTTTTATCTTTTGACATTTTTGATCTGGAGTCTTTAATTTATAGTTATATGAAAGAAAAAAAAAATTATTTCTCGTGACAGAGGTATTTTTCGATTATGAATTAAACGGTTTCTTTTTTTTTTTTTTTTTTTTTTATTTTTATTTCTTAGTACTAATAATTTTTTTATACCGTATGGAATTCAGTTAAGGTCTTGTTTCATCAGACAAAAAAAAAAAGCAAAAAAAAAAGCAGCCAACACACTGTGCAAAATGCTTTCATCATATTAGTAGTGTATTGAAATAGTGTCCATGTTGAAGTGAATCTGTCTGATTCAGATGAATTCATTTCACCCGTTCTTGTCTGCTTTTTGTTTGTTCTTTCAATATAAATCGAGCAAATCATTTCACATTGATTCACTTGCTCACTTAAGAGATTTGCTATCAGTACCTCATTCATACCAGTTAAGCATTTAGTATTCAACACACTCAAACCCATCCCTGTAAATATCAGCTCTCAAATTCTCATGGCTTGCGTGACTTCCTGTGTCCTCTGTGAAGATGTCATAAATTATGGTAGAGGAAGCACTGGGTGGGTTATGGCAGGTTGAACATTGAGAGTCTACATAAACTTTTTGAAAATCATTTGGCCTCTTTTAAGTTTGCTTCTTGTCATAATAACAACAATAATTTTTCTTTAAAGTAAAACTTTATGGATTTTTATTAACAACTTTAGGGATGCAAAATTTTGTAATTCAAGAATATTGTATGTCTATATTTCTGAGATAAGGTATTGTAACTATTTACATTGTTCGGAATGTTGTCCTCATCTTCATTGTTATGTTTATGACATTTTGGCCGTTGTATGCTTCAGCCATGGCATGTGGAACAAGAACAAACTATGCCAGTGGACTCTGTTCGAAATTCCAATGTATTCCTGAAGAAGGGTGGGGCGTACAATGTCCGAAACTTTGTTAATATGGCAATGAAGATGAAGACAATGGTCTGAATGATGTAAATAGTGTAAAAGAATATTGTATGTTTTTCAAAATACATTTATATTCATTTTTATTCTAAAATTTAAATATTAATAGATTGTATATTAAATCAGGTAAACTTTTTTTCTTTTTAAAAAAAAAAAAAAAACCCAAAAAACTATCATCTCTCTTGACCAAAATATGGTTTCTTGATTTATTCACACTAATATTCTGTTTTTTTTTTTTTTTTTTTATAATTTTCCAATCAATAAATTTTTTTGACTCTATACTTTGAAATGTAAAGTATTTTTGTTTTTTTTTAAATTTGACTTGATTTCCAAATGTTTAGAATAATTAACATTTTGTTTGTTATAAAATTTCATAATTTCATCTCAATTAAAACTCAAGTATTTTTTTTTTTTTTTTTTTTTTTTTAAATATTGTTAACTGACTTTACTGTTAATAGTGACCATAGTTTTGTCAGCAAAAAGATAACAAACTATATGAAACATGAGTCATCTGGAAAGTTCATAGGTTGACCAAGATATAAATGTATGTAGACATGCCAGTTTGTTGACTAAAAGATATACAAGTGTACCAGGATGCCACTGGCCAACCAGTTGTTCTATTCTGGCATGTTTAGTCTACCAACTGGCATGTCTACTTGCATTTATATCTTGGTCAGCCTATGAACTTTCCAGCTGACACTTGTAGCTATGGTCATTTCTAGGTTACACTTGGGCAAAGTACAGCACCTTTAATTACCCCCTCTCTGTCATAATGAGAGGAATAAATTAAGATGTTTTACTGCAACTGATTTTTTTTTTTTTTTCAATTTTTGTAAAATTTGCTATAAAAGAAAAACCATCACTTTGTCCATTACTTTTTAAATCTTTAACTATTACACGCTACATATTATGACCTTACATTTCCTTTTTAATGATTAAGAATGATTTATGTACGGAAGAGATAGTTTTTAATTTGCTGACTGCAACCAAAATAAAAAAAAAAATTTGAATGTCTGCTATTAGTGATGTGTGCACTGTTCATTAAACTTTTAACTTATTAAATTAATAAGCAAGACTTATAATAATGTTGTTTTGAATGTTTATTTTTAATCAGACAACTTACGAGCAATCTTTTGGCCTTTTCAGCAATAAGAATAAGGATATTAGTTTTAAGATACTTGCCTTGAAGGAAAATAATTCTTTCTATTTAACTTTAAATTCTTTTTGTTTTTCTTTGTTTTTTTTTTTTTTTTTTTTTTTTTTTTTTTTTGATGTTCTAATTTGAACCAGTAAAAGCAAGCTCAGAAAACTTGGATAATTTCCATCCTGTTCAGCAATTACTATTTCTCTGCAGATTTCTAAAACTTTTCTCTTTCTTTCTTTCTTTTACTGGTTCCAGTTACAATATCAATATTTTGCTGTTCCGTTATTTGTCAAATTATTAACCATTTTGAAACTTGACACTTATCCTTATGCTTGGTCAGTGATGTTACTGATTAAATATTTTTCTAATCGAGACTGAAAAAAAAAAATCTGATGAAAGGTTAAAGTCAGAAAGGTTTTGTCATCATTGTCATCCTGATAACGGTTTCGTATTATTGTTCATCTGTCTGGTTGGCTTTGCAGATGACTTCTCAGTCGAATGTGCCTCAGGTCCCAACCTCCATCACAGGCCAGAGCATGACACCCAACTCGATGGGAGTGCTTACATCACAGGTTAATTTGAAATTTCATCATTTTGTTTTTTTTGTTTTTTTTTTTTTGTTTTTTTTTTCTCCCCACCTCCCAAATATATTTCCCCACTCTCCTGCCCCTCTCACTTTACCTTCTTTTGCTGGCTTAAATGTTTTTTTTGTTTTTTTTATTGCTTTTGGTTTACTAAACAACTATTACAAAGTTGCTTTATTTTTTCCTTTTTGTTTTCTTCTTCTTCTTCTAAGGGCCTTTGCTAATAGTAGTACAACTCCACCACTTAATCATTGCATCTTTGGTTCATGATAAACTTTTCTTGAAATTTCAATATTTTAATTAAAATTTACTTCAAGTGCACACACACACACACATGTTTTTAAAATAGGATACAAAATCCCAACAAATTTTTTAAGAAATTTGACAAATGGAAAATGTTTCATTGAAAATAGATTTGATTATGCGTTTTGCCTTTCTAGGTTTCAGCAGTTTCAAAAACAAAAGTAAGAAATATGTGTATTTGTGTGTATGCTTAAATATTGATTCAGTATTTTTTTTCTTAAACTGGCATTTGTTGTGATTAAAGAAAGAAAATGAATGACTTTTAAAAAAGATGTTAATATTTAGTTTGTATCATTCTTTTATAATTCTTAGTTCATGTCAAAAGTTGTTAACATATTTTTTTCCCAGCTTTTTTGCATCAAATTAAAGGCAAATCCTTATCTCATTTTCGTGTCCTGGGTATGACGATAAACTACATCTGCGTGCGTCCAACAGCAGAGCCTCTGATAATACGTTTTTGGAAAAATAATATTACGAGCAATATGTTTTTGAAAAAATAATCTTACCAGCTATACATTTTTGAGAAAAAATTTTTTAACAGAAATAGTTTTTTGACAAAACAAAAAATATTACCAGGAAGAAAAAAAAAAAAAAAAAAGGTGTCGGCATTAAATGATCCATTGAGGTTGATATACCGTAAAACAAAAACCAAAGCAAACCTCATTTTCAAAGTGGTTCAAAAGCAAGAAATTCATTAACCCTTTTCTGAATGAATCCAAGGCAAATCCTCATTCAAATCTTAATGTAAACAATATATATATTTTTTAAAGTCACTCATTTTCTTTCTTTAATTACAAGAAAATGCCAGCTTAGAGAAAAAAATTCTATGATTCATTAATTCAGGCATACACAGAAATACAAATTTCTTTCTTTCGTTTTTGGATCAGATGAAACCTTGAATGGCAAAACACGGAATCAGATCTATTTTCAATGAAACTTTTTTCTTTTGTCAGAATTTCTTATATTTAATAATCCGTTGGTATATAAGCCAAATGAATCATAAGAATATAATATAAAATATTAAAACTTATTCACATAGAGAGCTCAATGTTTTATTCAAACAGAGCATATAAATTACATACAGTAGGAATTAAGGTTACTCCATGGTTATGATCATTTGACCTCACAAATTAAGATTAATTTGTAAGGATTTTTAAACCCATCAGGTTAATAAGAAAAATAAAAAAGGGATGGGTTTGAAAATCTCTACAAATTAATCTTAATTTGTGGGGTGGAATGATCATAACCATGGAGTAATCTTAATTCTTATTGAATGATTGATTATATATATATATATATATATATGCAGCATATCTTTATTTCAACATATATAATCATTGTATCTTCTGAGTATGCAAGGGCAGCTAGCTAATCCCTGTTGCATACACCTACTCAGGCACATTTATGTTGGTTCAATAACCACAGAGCCCATCTGATTTTTTTTTTTTTTTTTTTTTTTTACGGCAACCACACCGAGCAGACCTTAGAGTTTCTATTAGAGAGTGTGTGATCAACAGTTTGAACAAGGCTCATAAGCTAAGATCCTTGGTGATAGCTTGTGGCATTGTGTTAGCATAACCAATGTTTATCTTCTAATTTTAATGCAATTGGGCCTGCCTCAAAATATTAATGAAGAGATAATGAACCACTACCCAAATCTGACCAAACTTGTTTTTTTTTTTGTTTTGTTTTTTTTTTTTAACTCTTAATTGAACTCAACTTGGAGAGTTTAGTTACCAAGGAGGGATAACTAATAGTGAGATAATCAGAAAAGGGCATGGCATGTGGAATTAGAGCAATCTACACCCATTGACTAAATAAAGGGTTCTGTTTGAAATTCCAATGTATATCACCTGAAGAAGGCCAGAGCATATAATGGCCAAAATGTCGTGAATATGGCATTAAAGATGAGGACAACAGTCTGGATGACGTAAATAGTGTAAATGGTTCCAATACCTCATCTTGGAAATATAGACAGATCCTTAACTAAGAGGTTTCTTATTCTGCTCAAGAACTTTTCAATACCACCTCTTAGTTTAGAAAAAAAAAAAAATTATAAAGCTAAGTACCATTACCTTGACTGTGGAATTTTAGTGATGCTATAAAACTATTAATAAAATGAGAAGAATTTAAAAAGAAATTGAGAAATGGTATTCGATTTGCAGGAATCCTATTTTCCAATATCATTTAGCCAGTATGACTAAAATATAAAAACATCTTTTTTTTTTTTCTTCTTTTTCCATTAAGTTGGTCATAAAAAGTCATCAGTATTTCTTTAGGCCATTTATCTAATACTTTGCATGAGACTAACATTATTTGTTGGATTTTGTGGTGGACCTGTACTTCAGTGACCTTTTTCCTTTTTTTTTTTTTTTTTTTTTTTAATTTTTACTTTTGTAAATACTTTCTAAAATCAAGTGTTCCAAAAACTTATATAAACTTAATTGTTTAGTAAATCAAATAAAGATGAAAAAAAATGAAAAATAACTTTTTTTTTTTTTCTTCACTTGTCGGTCGTTAATTTTTAATTGCAAATACTTTGATTGCTTTGTTTTCCACAATTGGTTCATCTTGTGTGGTGACCTGTTTGTTTCAATACATCTCTATATCATTAGTGTCTCAAAGATACGGACAAAACCTATTTTTAAAATAAACCTTTACCCACACCAGACAAGCTGAACTCCTTCACAAGAAGATGCCTTTACTGCTAGAGCTGATTTAGTTGTAAAAGGCATTGTTTTTTGTTTAGGTAGTAACTGGCCAGGAATATGGTGGTGGTGTTTTTTATTTTTATTTTTTTTTTCCCCCCTCATTTGGTTGTGGGTCTGGTCTCCTTATGTGCATTGTTTTGCACAATCTATATTTTTGGGGATACACGGATGTATTGGAACAAGCAGGATTCCACAAAATAATATTGTTCTTGATGCTTTTTCTAAAGTCGTTATATCGCTAAAATAATAATAAAAAGTTTTTTCAACTGAAATTCTTTCTAATACACTTTCTTCTGCAATTGGATCAGGTAGTCTTGACATTAATAGACTTGACATTAATGTTACTAGTATACTAATTTATTAGCAAATATAAATAAATAAAAATAAAATATTTTCAACAAATATTTCTTGGGCAGATTTCAAATAAACTAATTGTAATTTATAGACAGTGTGTCAGAAATACCTCCCGCATAATTGTGAGACCATAGGTAGATGAAGACCTCATTGATACTAATGTCTTACCTTTATGTGGATGGGGGTTTCTGCCGTACCCTGTATGGAGGCTATTGACACCTGCTCAATTTCTTTGGTTTAATTTTCATCTGTAAAAAATATTACTGCGATTTTTGCCCTTTGATGGAACTCTAATCTTGTCTAAAATTTGATCCTCTCTCTCTGATATCTTCCTTTTAGCTTTAATTAAGAAAAATCATTCGCAGTCAGTGCTTATTGGGAAAAACAATAGTTTTCAGTAATAAATTATATGAAAAATTATATTTCACCAAAATAGACATGTTTATTATTTTTGTTCTTTTAATGAGCAGAATAACTCTTTTTTTTTTTTATTTTTTATGGCTACAGTTTTGAGTAGATAAGAGATGGGATTTATTTATTGGGTGATTTATCAACAGTATGTTAAAAAAAAAATACTGCAAACCTTTTTACAGTTACCCCCCCTAAATATTTTAAATTTTATCTGTTCCCATTTATTTATCAGGTTATTGTATAGCAGCTTAAATCGTGTAGTCTTTTAACATCTTGATAATAAAAACCCTCTAAGATATGTATATATATATATATATATATATATATATATATATATATATTTATTATGTAAATTATTACAGTAACTTTAAGCTAAGTCTTGACCTGTTATAAATTTAAGTTAAAAAAAAAAAAACTTAACGGATTCCTGTTGATTTCTTTCCTATTTATATTTCAAATGCATGCTTCTCTCTCTCTCTCTCTCTTTCCTATTCTACACTTGCCCATCTTTGAAAGACAACTGAGACAGTCTATCAGTTCCACATGTTTGCTCTTTGCTCAAAAATGGAATGTTTCATTGGCTTTTTGAACCTTCCTGTTTTTTCATTCTTTGTTATTTTTGGGTATTTTTTTTTTTTTTTTTTTTTTGAATGAGGATGATCTCTGATTTTTATTAAAAACAGTGAAATATTGAGAGAGTAAAAAAGAAGAAAAAAAAAAAAGAAATTTGAAGTAAATTGTAAAATTGGCTTTGTAGGTACACCTTATTCTCAAACGTTGGGGTTTGGTGATGAACCAGCTTCTAGCATGGAAACTAAAAGCTGAAGAAATAGTTGAGTATTTTCAGCTCTATATTGAAGAAAGAAAGAAAAAAATTATAATCCATTGTTGGTGATAAATAATTGTCAACAAAATAGAAAAAAAAAAACTACTACTACAACAGAAAATATATGAAAATTGAGGATTTTATGTGTGTTTTTTATTTTTATTTTTTTTTCCAGTTTAGCAGAACTTCAGCCAAAAAGCGTTCAATGGATAATTGTTATAATATTCAGTAAATTAAGAAAAGTTCAAGTGACTTATCTGATTATTCAACTCAATTGCATTGAAATGTTCATGAAGACCCGATATTTGATAAATCTATTGAACTTATCAGATTCCAAATAAAATAGGAGTTAACTATAATTTTAATACATTTTTATGATTATATATATTCTTTGTCCATTTCATAATGTATAATTTTAATCTAATTTCAAGTGAAAAAAGGTTCAGTGATATTGATAATTGATATCACAGTAAGCAGTTCTTTTTATGTTAATAAAGCTCGAAGGTTAATCAGTTAAATGGATAACCAATCAGAAAAAAAACTAAAAGAATGTGTTGCATCTAAAAAAAAAAAAAAAAAAGTCGCTTGTATTAATGTATAATTTTCCAAAGAGAAATCCTCTAAGAAAAATGCATGTTGAACTGAAAGCATTTTGTTCTAAGTTATTTACAGCTCTTCTTCCTGACTGACTTGATTTTCTTTATTTCTCTTGAAACGTTCGTACCTAGACTGTTTCCTTTTTGTTTATTTTTATTTTAATTCTTTTCTGCACTTTATATTTTTTCCATTTTAATCTTTTTTTTTTCTTTTTTGCAAGACATTATGTCCATCTGTTTCAAAATATTTTACTTTGCCTCATTTTCTAAACATGTATTTATTGTATAGAAATGTTTGTTCTCCTGTGACAGTGTCTCTATGATTTTGATTTATTTCCATTTGAAGAATTACACTTTAAAATTCCTTATGAATGTTGACTGAAGAAACCAACAACTAAGCTAAGAAGTGATTATGACTTGGACATCATTGGCAAGAAATTTTGAGATATTTAACTTTTATACGCTAACTTGTACTTTAAACTTCCAAAGTTGTCTTGCCAAGTTTCACAGATACACCGCTTGTCAAGGTCATAAATTTATCTATCTGCCTCTGACAAGTGGAGTATCTACAAAACTTGACATTAGAAAGATAAGTATTTTGAATTTTTCTTTTATATTTAAAACTAATGTTCCTCTATTCATTTTAATATTGAATACTTTGTTTACAAATTCTGCCTGCTTTTAAACATGTTAAACTCTAGTCATTTACTGGACTACATGTTTTGTTAGGATTTAATGATCTTTGTTAGGCAGCATATCTTCAGTTAAACATGTTTAATTGAATAATATCAACATATGTCTATTTATTTTTATCATAATCCTTTCTATTTCTATAATTAGCTTCTTGATAATTTGAAATTCATCACGGAAGGTGCTGTAGTTTTTGTTAACCAAGTACTTTTGACTTTGAAAGTGTGTGAACGCACTCTGTTGTAATTAATTTAAGTTTATCAGTGGTAACTATCATGTTTTTTTTTGTTTTTGTTTTTTTTTTTTTTTTCAAAACCAGCATTTGACTGTCAGTTTCAATAAGTTCATCTTTGCGATACACCCCCCCCCAGGATGATCTCAAAGGAGATTGAAATACTTGTGTTAACAAAAACTACAAAACATATTTGTCTTATATATATATATAGAGAGAGAGAGATCTTGAAGGTGTACCTGATAATGGAAAAAAAATTTTAATGTAATTTTTTTTTTTTTAAATTGTACACAGTGGGGGAAGTTGGATTTAATAAATCAGCTCTCAAATTTGGGTATTAAGTGCCTGCTCAGATTAGGTGGTCTTTGTGGTTGGGTATCATGTCCATGTTAGTGACCTTGTGATTGTGGACATGTTGGTTAGTCTCCCTCTCAATGGTGCCCCCAGACATAAGAGTTCAGGTAATACAAATCGGGAGGGTACATGGTGAGGGTGATATGAGTGTGAAAATTCTTGATCAGCTCTGATTCTGGATTATGTGTCCTATGTGAGGGGTGGGGAAGCATTATCCTGCTAGGAACACACATGGCCAACCCCATGATTTAAGTCAACCGTTTTCTCCACCATATTAATTTGGTCAGTGGGATTGACACTGAATCTTTGCAGGAAGAAGTAGTGACCTTGCATGAAAAACAATTCAGTGGACAGTGTAAACTTTATGGGGATATCTCTGTGGATCTATATTAGGGATGGTAAAACTTGCTTAATGTAAGAGCCACATATGATAAAATTCAGATGTTTGAGAGCTGCAAGACATGAACAAAATTTACACATACGTTTTTGTTACATACACATTAACATTAAACTTAGGTTTTAACCCAGTGGGGTCTCATTTCATACCTAGTAAATAATTATAAAGTTTTAAATTTTTCTTTTAATATTAACTGTGATGAAATGTGATGAAAAAAGGAGCTTAGCCAATGTTTTCATGAGCTGCATCTTAAAAGTCAAATTGCTGCATATGGCTTGTGAGTTGTGGTTTGGCCACCCATATGAACCTACCTGTCATTCCTCATGCTCCTGTTGCCACTTTCAAGAAGCTAGCTATCACTGAGTAGCTGTAGATGATAATGAGTTTCATGTGCATGGCGTGCCCCCCCCCCAAACATCATAATTGCAAGTGTTAATGCTTGATACGTCTGAAGAGAAATACTTAAACACCTTATTGGATGTAATTAATGCATTAAAATCTGAGAAGAGAAAATTAGACAAAAGCAAATATGGTCACAATAAATGGGAATATGGGAAAAAAAAAAAAAAAAGAGAGAAAAAATATTAGTGTCCAACATGTTTTTGTTCCTCTCTCATCAGAACTTGATCAAGTAATTACAGTATTGTGTGCAATGACAAAAGGGGGAGGGGTGAGGATAAGAACTAGACAATTATCAATAATATATTGATACACTATATATACTTGTCATAAACAGAAACAACAACAACCAGTCCTTTGTTTATACAAACTTCTTGTTCTTGTTGTCACAATTTTTATCAAATTGGAACAACCTTTATGTAAACAAAAAGAATAGTTGTTTCAATGTGATCTGTTTATAATATATATACTCTTGACTCTCCCATCGAATTCGACGTATGAGGGTCAAGCAGATCAGTTCCCAGGAAACCGACAGTCCAACAACAGCACGAGATTTGATTATAGTGGTGAAGGTTTCGTGCAAGACCATCCACACTTTTTTGAAGGGCCAAATACAGAGACCTGGTGCACAAGGTCCCCAAACGACCCTACACAGGTCTTGAATTCAGAGTTGTCCTTGTAGACCAGTTGCCATCCAAGGCTATAGAACCCAGTCTGTTCTTCTATTTACCCATAGCTGGAGGGAGAAAAGGATTCACACCTTTCCCAAGGGTATTAGCACGTAATACATAATATTACAAACACACACACACACACACATATATATATAGTGCCTGAGTGTGCATTTCTTATTCTCTCCCCGACTTTAGTCATTGTGCACAGTATTTTTTGATTGTTCGAATTTACTCCTGAGAGGGACGAGGACAAATCAGTTGTTTCTAATATTTTTCGCCTCTTTTTTTCCTTTCTTTCCTTTTTCTCTTTTCCTCTCTTTCCTTTTTCTCTTTTCCTCTCTTTCCTTTTTCTCTTTTCCTCTCTTTCCTTTTTCTCTTTTCCTCTCTTTCCTTTTTCACTTTTCCTCTCTTTCCTTTTTCTCTTTTCCTCTTTTCCTTTTCCCTTTTCCTCTCTTTCCTTTTCCCTTTTCCTCTCTTTCCTTTTCCCTTTTCCTCTCTTTTCCTTTTTCCTTTTCCTCTTTCCTTTTTCCCTTTTCCTCTCTTTCCTTTTTCCCTTTTCCTCTCTTTCCTTTTTTCCCTTTTCCTCTCTTTCCTTTTTCCTTTTCCTCTCTTTCCTTTTTCCCTTTTCCTCTCTTTCCTTTTTCCCTTTTCCTCTCTTTCCTTTTCCCTTTTCCTCTTCTTCCCTTTTCCCTTTTTTCTCTCTTTCCTTTTTCTCTTTTCCTCTCTTTCCTTTTTCCCTTTTTCTCTCTTTCCTTTTTCCCTTTTCCTCTCTTTCCTTTTTCCCTTTTCCTCTCTTTCCTTTTTCCCTTTTCCTCTCTTTCCTTTTTCCCTTTTCCTCTCTTTCCTTTTTCTCTTTTCCTCTCTTTCCTTTTTCCCTTTTCCTCTCTTTCCTTTTTCCCTTTTCCTCTCTTTCCTTTTCCTTTTTTCCTCAATTTTCCCTTTTCCTTTTCCTCTCTTTCCTTTTCCCTTTTCCTCTCTTTCCTTTTTCCCTTTTCCTCTCTTTCCTTTTTCTTTCCTTTTTCCCTTTTCCTCTCTTTCCTTTTTCTCTTTTCCTCTCTTTCCTTTTTCCCTTTTCCTCTCTTTCCTTTTCCTCTCTTTCCTTTTTCTTTCCTTTTTCCCTTTTCCTCTCTTTCCTTTTTCCCTTTCCTTTTTCTCTTTCCTTTTTCCCTTTTCCTCTCTTTCCTTTTCTCTTTCCTTTTCCTTTTCCTCTCTTTCCTTTTTTCTTTCCTTTTCCTTTTCTCTCTTTCCTTTTTCCCTTTTCCTCTCTTTCCTTTTCCCTTTTCCTCTCTTTCCTTTTTTCCCTTTTCCTCTCTTTTCCTTTTCTTTTCCCTTTTCCCTTTTCCTCTCTTTCCTTTTTCTCTTTTCTCTTCTTTCCTTTTTCCCTTTTCCTTTTCTTTTCCTTTTTTCCCTTTTCCCTCTTTCCTTTTCCCTTTTTCTCTTTTTCCTTTTTTTCCTTTTTCCTTTTCCTCTCTTTTCCCTCTTTTCCTCTTTCCTTTTCCCTTTTTCTCTTTCCTTTTCCCTCTTTCCTTTTTCTCCTTTTTCCCTTTTTCTCTTTCTTTTTTCCTTTTTCCTCTTTCCTTTTTCCTTTTTCCTCTCTTTCCTTTTTTCTCTTTCCTTTCCTTTTTCTCTTTCCTTTTTTCTCTTTCCTTTTCCCTTTTTTCTCTCTCTTTCCTTTTTCCCTTTTCCTCTCTTTCCTTTTCCCTTTTCTCTCTTTTTCAGTTGCCATCAGGCTATAGAACCCAGTCTGTTCTTCTATTTACCCATAGCTGGAGGGGAAAAGTTCACACCTTTCCCCTTTTATTGCACGTAATACATATTATACAAACACACATATATATATATATATATATATATATATATATATATATATATATATATATATATATAGTGCCTAGTGTGCATTTCTTATTCTCTCCCGACTTTAGTCATTGTGCAATATTTTTCCTTTTCCTTTTCCTCTTTCCTTTTCCTTTTTTCTTTTCCTCTCTTTCCTTTTCTCTTTTTCCTCTCTTTCCTTTTCTCTTTTCCTCTTTCCTTTTTCCCTTTTTTTCTCTTTCCTTTTTCCTTTTCCTCTCTTTCCTTTTCCCTTTTCCTCTCTTTCCTTTTTCCCTTTCTTCTCTTTCCTTTTTCCCTTTCTTCTCTTTCCTTTTTCTCTTTTCCTCTCTTTCCTTTTCTCTTTTCCTCTCTTTCCTTTTCTCTTTTCCTCTCTTTCCTTTTCTCTTTCCTCTTTTTCCTTTTTCTCTTTTCCTTTTCCCTTTTCTCTTTCCTTTTCCCTTTTCCTCTTTCCTTTTTCTCTTTTCCTCTCTTTCCTTTTTCCTTTTTCTCTTTTCCTCTCTTTCCTTTTTCTCTTTTCCTCTCTTTCCTTTTTCTCTTTTCCTCTCTTTCCTTTTTCTCTTTTCCTCTCTTTCCTTTTTCTCTTTTCCTCTTTCCTTTTTGTCTTTTTCTCTTTCCTTTTTCTCTTTTCCTCTCTTTCCTTTTTCTCTTTTCCTCTCTTTCCTTTTTCTCTTTTCCTCTCTTTCCTTTTCCTCTCTTTCCTTTTTCACTTTTCCTCTCTTTCCTTTTTCCCTTTTCCTCTCTTTCCTTTTTCCCTTTTCCTCTCTTTCCTTTTTCTCTTTTCCTCTTTCCTTTTTCTCTTTCCTTTTTCTCTTTCCTTTTTCCCTTTTCCTCTCTTTCCTTTTTCCCTTTTCCTCTCTTTCCTTTTTCTCTTTCCTTTTTCTCTTTCCTTTTTCCCTTTTCCTCTCTTTCCTTTTTCTCTTTCCTTTTTCTCTTTCCTTTTTCCCTTTTCCTCTCTTTCCTTTTCTCTTTCCTTTTCTCTTTCCTTTCCCTTTCTCTCTTTCCTTTTTCTCTTTTCCTCTCTTTCCTTTTTCTCTTTTCCTCTCTTTCCTTTTTCTCTTTTCCTTTCTTTCTTTCCTTTTTCTTTTTGTAATGCCATTTATTGTTCCATATTTTTTTTTTTATTTAATATATCTGTTCTAACACTCATGAAAGAGAAATGTTAAAATTTGGAGCATTCTCTCACATTAAAGGTCATTTTCCATTTATGGTCTGTGCCTAAAGACATTCAGTTATTTGGCCCACCCAGTAGACATCGTAAACAGCCTTGTAAGTGGCACAGAGTTTAATCTGCACATTGATTGATTTTTTTTTTATGGCTTATCAACCTTTTGCTGGCTATTTAAAGCCAGAAAATATTTTTAGATTGTAAGAATTCTTTTAGAGACAATTATTTACTGATACAAATCCTACTAATTTAACCCATAGATGGGGGGGGAGAAGTAGATTCATACCTTTCCCTTGGGTATTTGTATGTAAATAAGTATAAAGAACTTGACTGGAATTGGTACTAGGCTCTTCAATTTTCAATTCCAACTTGTAATTCATTACACCACCTGCACATCCAAGCTTACAGCACCTGGTATTCCAAAGCAGTCGCCTATCTAGGCACTGATCAGACTTGATGTTGCTTAACTTCAGTCATATGAGAACCAGTGTTTCAACATGATATGGATGTAAGCTTGTTGCTCATTAAAATAACTGTTTAAAAAAATACAATGAGAAAAATAAATTTTTTTTTTTTTTTTTTTTTTTTTTTTTAACTGTAAAAAAACCCAAAAAACAAGTTCAGTAATTTCAATATTAATTGGTTTATACTATCAGGCTTAGTTTTGTTTTCTCTCTGGAAAATTGACTCCTCACAATATGTAATGTTTTTTAAAATGGTTTTAACTTATGAGGCAAGGTAAAAAAAACAAAAAACTATTTGAATATTTTATCTTTTAATTTATTTTAATTTGTAAAATTGCATTTCTTTCTTATATTTGTCTTTGTTTTTCACATTTCATACAAAAATAGAATTTTATTAAGATGAAATTATTCGTTCTATCACTCTATGAAATATATATATATATATATATATATATATATTTTTTTTTTTTTTTTTTAAGGCTAATCTCGCTGAATTAATTTGATCTTATCAAAGTTCATTTATATGCAAAATTTTTTTCTTTTTGTAAAATACATCTATTGGATGCTTTAGTACACATCATCATTGATGTTTCTAGCCGAGGTTCATTAGGGGTTTCAGGTCTTTCAACATCATGACCCCTCTCCACAGTGATCCAACCGATACTGATCGGGTATTGACTTGTGTACCTTCCGTTAGCTACAGTTTTTTTTTTTTCCATCTTTATAACTACACACTGTGACTCCACTTGGCAATTTATAAAAATATAATGGAAATCTTGTATAGGTATGTATGTTTGTAGAGATGATGATATTTTTTTTTTTTTTTTTTAACATACAACATGTGTTAGCATGTGCGATACCCTGTCTTCATCATTATTTATATTAAAACTGAAACATTTGTTTGGGTGAAGAATTCAAAATAACAAAAAAGAAAAAAAAATGGATGTTCTGTTTCTTTTTGCTCTCTCACTGATAATACAAGTTGTAGGAGAGATGATGCATTTTCGTTGTCTATATTTTTATAACTTTTCCTTTGTCACTCTGTATGTGATTTCATTTGCTGTACAAAAGAACTTTTCTTGCCACTGAAGGTGACTCGGATCCCTGAACAATAGTGTGTTTAAATTTCATAGTTGTGTTGTCATATCCTGCTATGCCAACAGAAAACAACTATAAAAATAATACAGTGGAAAAGGAAGTAATATTGATAATGTAGAGTGCTAAAAGTTAATATTTAAAATTGCATTTTTGTTTACATCTCTATGAACATTAACATTTTTTTTTTTTTTTTTTTTTTTTTGCTTATGAAGCAAGGAAAGTATTTTCTGGTGTTCAGTTTTTCTCATGGTACAAAATATTGTGAACAAACATTTTCAAATTTATATTTTGGTAGGCTTTTAATTTGCTCATGTTTTAAAGTCTTGACATTGATTATTGTAGGGTTATTTTTATTTTTTTATTTTTTGTTTTTGGTTAAATTGAGAAGAAATATAAAGACCTTAACCCTGAACCGTTTACCTGTATAGATTTTGTGTTTCTATGAGGGTGCCGATTAGATTATTGCAAGGAAAAACTAAAAAAAGAAAATATTAAAATCTGAACGGAACATTCTGTCACATATGTCCAAAGACTAACAGTCAAATCATGCTGAAACACTAGTTCTTGTTTGATCATTGAGGTTAAGCAGTGTTAAGCCCAGCCAGTGCTTAAATGGGGGACCACTGAGTACTGTAAGCAATCTCTTACAGTCCGAAATATGTTTTGGCTTTAAATAACCAACAAAGGGTTGATAAGCCATAAAAAATAAAAGAAAACAAAGCAATTGACCAATATGTCCAAAGAGTATAAAAATAAAGACTTGGGAGTATTGAACTGTGTTAAAGTATTTGTCAACTGACATTTAATATTGTTGTTATTACTATTTTCTTTAACTGTTTATTTACTATTTTATTACTATTTTATTATAATATTTTATTACTATTTTATTACTATTTTCTTTAACTGTTAGTGGTGAAATTAAATGAGATTTTGGATGCATTCTGTTATTAAAAGCAAAGAGTTTTGCTTAAATATCTGAAAAAAAGTAGTTTGGCTCTTGAACAAGAAAATTTTTTTATCTTTTTTATTTATTTTTTTTAATTTTTTTTTGCTTAAAATTGGTTATCTTATTGACATCTTTGTCTGAATTCATGGGATGAAGATTTATCATTATTTACATTATTTATATTCAGACTGTTGTCCTCATCTTTCTTGTTATTATCATCACCTGATCACCTTCTGTCTGAATTTCTGGGATGAAGAGTTATCATTATTTATATTGAAACTATTGTCCTAATCTTTGTTGTTATTATCACCTGATCGCCTTCTGTCTGAATTTCTGGGATGAAGAGTTATCATTATTTACATACAGACTATTGTCCTCATCTTTATTTTTATCACAACATTTCAACCATTTGTGTCCGGCCTTCCTCAGGTGAATATGAATCTACAGGGAATTTTGAAGTGAACCCTTTATTTAATCTATGAGCATAGATTGTTCTCGTTCCCCTGCTCGTGACTAGGGATATCTTGTCTAGTTCTTATTTTTAGTACTGCTCAGTTATTACTCACCCTTTTTTAACCGAGTTAAACTAGATGAGATATCCCTAGACATGGGCAGTGAAATGAGAACAGTCTTCCCCGTAGATTAAATAAAGGTTTCAGTTCCAAATTCCCTCTACATCGATATACACCTGAGGAAGTCTGGAGAGTATAACGGCTGAAACATTGTGATAACAAAAACAAAGATGAGGACAATTGTCTGCCTATAAATAATGCAAATTATTGAAATCTGTTATTATTTTTGTTTTCCCTTTTACAAGTTGCAACTCGTCGAGAGTAGAAGAATTTATATTTAATCTTTTGTTCATCAATAATCTCGTTGATGTTTCCACTTAGGGTGCCAAAATGTAGGTAGTTGTTCTGAGGTTCATCTCAGGTTTCCCATAACCCGTTAGTCTTTAGAATTTTAAAATTATTTGACTCCTACATGAACCAATTTCTTCTTGTATTGTTCCATCCTTTGTGCTTTTAAAAACTCATACTGGGTAGGTAAAAACACACAAGGAACTGTAAGTAAATGAATGTATTTCTTTCGATAAAAATGATTTCTTTTCCAGTTGTTGGACACTAAAGAAGCTGATTAAGGAGATTAAAAAAAGATTATATTTCACTCATCCCCAGTCTTGGAGATCTTCAAATATCTTTCAATCTGACTATCAGGAAATTTCAAACTGAGCCTTTTTCCCCCAAATTGTTCTTGTCCCACTGCCCAGCTCTAAGGATATCACTTTTTATCCTCTTTTTAGTACTGCTCAATTATTGCTTGCTCTGTTCTCACTGAGATTCGATCTATACTGTCCAGCCAAGGGACTGAAACCACAATTACTATCCCACCAAATGTCAATCGCCTAGAGGATTAATGTATTGGCTGGTGAATTTGGTTATATAGTAATTGTGAGTTCAATCCCTGGGCAGGGTAGTAAAGTCTTAGTCAGACTTAGTGGAGATGGGGTCAGAAAATAACAACATTAAAAGGAGAACAAGATGAGACATCTCTTGGCAGTAACCACAGAACAATCTGACTCCAGAAATTAAATAAAGTGTTAATTTCCTGAAGGTTACTCTGATCATAAAGTACCTAAAAAAAAAAAAAGGCCACTAGACTCAATGGACAAAATGTTAGAATATTAACAACAAAGATGAAGATATTAGTCTGACTGTAAATAATAAAAATATTAAACTCGAGACGACCTTCCCCATTGCTTATTGCAACTATCTCTGTTTTCCGTTTGTTTTTTTTTGTTCTCTGTAACTGTCATTAGATATTCGGCCGTGAAACTGTGCAGTGTTTATTGCCAATATTTGAATTTTGTTTATTGGCTGATGACTAGCAATGAGAATTGCAGAAAGTAAGGTTTAATATAGGACCAAAAATGGTCGTGTCAACCTACCAGTCATTCAATTGCACCTTCTCTGAGTGAAGCTAAGGCCAAAGATGTCTTCTTATATTAAATATCCAATCTCTATATCGATCCATCAAGCAACTTCAATCATTTTCATTACCCCTCCATTTGAGTTTATTACATTCATTGATGTGCAGATAAATTTTGGAATGATATAAGTCAATCTCTTTCCCCCCAGCTATAGGTTAAATAGTAGGAATTGTATTCGGAAAAATCATATCCATAAAATTGTTAATGCAATATTCACTCACAAAAGAAATTTTACAATCTAAAATAGGTTTTGATTTTTAAATAGCCCACTAGGGATTGATAAGCCTTAAAAAAAAAAATAATCATTTTCATTGCAATTTAATAAAGGTTACCATCATTTTATTAGGGAGCTTTATTTGCAATACTTACCTGATTAAATGTCTATCATAAAAGTTCTTTCTAATATATTTGATATCATTTTACTTTTCTTTGCTTTTTTTTTTTTTTTTTTTTCTTCATCATTTATGAAATTGATGC